CTTTCAGGGACAAGGAGGTGCTAAGGTCTCCTGTTAAGACTGTGGTATTGGATATTAGATTTTTTCATGGCCATTAAGATTTTTTTTATATAGTTGGGTGCTCCCGTGTTTGGTGCATACATATTTGTGTTATCTCTTCCTCTTGTATTTTTCCCCTAACCAGTATATAGTGACCTTCTTTATTTCGCTTGATTGTTCTTGGTTTGATGTTGAGACTGTCTGAGAACAGGATTGCTTCTGCTTTTTTCTGAGGTGCTGGGGCATGTAGTATTATTTTCCATCCTTTGACTTTCAGCCTATGAATGTCTTTATGAGTTAAATGTGTTTCTTGTATACAGCATATTGTTGGATTTTGTTTTCTAATCCACTGTGCCAGTCTATTTCTCTTAATTGGTGAATTGAGTCCATTTACATTGATGGTTAGAATTAAGATGTATTGACTTATGACTGGCATGTTATTTACCTGCTATTGTTTACTCCTTTTTCTCCTGTCTGTGTTTGTTTGCCCTATTTAGTTAGTTGTTTCTGATCTCATTCGTGGAGTTCTGATCATTTTGGTCCCTCTCTAGAACATCTTTCAGGAGTCTGTGTATGGTTGGTTTTGTCATCTTGAAATTCTTTAGTTGTTCTTTGTCATGGAAGTAGTTCACTTCTCCATCGAACTTGAGAGTTTTGCAGGGTATAGTAGTCTGGGCTGGAATTTGTTTTTATAGAGGACTTGGAGTACTCTGCTCCATGCTCCTCTTGCCTTCATGGTTTGTGAAGAGAAGTCGGCCGTAATTCTGATGGGTTTTCCTTTGAATGTGATCTGCTTCTTTTCTTTAGCGGCTTTCAGTATATTATTCTTGTGCTGGATTTCTGGGATCTTGACTATTATATGTCTCGGTGTGTTTTTCATTGGGTTGAGGTTACTTGGTGATCTGTTAGCTTTGGTTACCTGAATGTCAGATTGTTTCCTCATATTTGGGAAGTTTTCTGCTATTACTTCTGCCCATATTTTTTTAATGTCATTTGTATTGACTACTTTCTCATTGATACCTATTAGTCTCACATTGTTCATCTTTGCATCATCTTGCAGGTGATGGATTATTTTTTCCTGCATCCTTGTTGTTTTTAAGAGATCCTTTCTTACCTTTTCACTAGCCGCACCAGCATCTTCAAGATCTGAAACTCTGTCTTCACTTTCAGTCAAACAGTTCTGCAATCTTGTGATTGAGATTTTAAGTTTCTCTATATCTCTTTGACTGCTTCAAGCGATCTGTTTCTTTTCTGTGTTGCTCTTGAAGGAATCTGTCATTTTTCTAATCGCTATTTTTTTTATCAATGTCTTCTTTAGAAGCAGTTATTCTTTTACTGCAGAGTTTTTTTTCAGACTCTGTTTCCTCCCTGTGTTTCTGTATTTGATTCTTCCAATGCTATGAGTTCAGAGATTTCTTTTTTTATTTCAGTAATTAATTCTGTTCTGAGTTCCTCTATACCTTTCTGGTGTTGCTTATTTACTTTCGACACTATTAATTCATGCATTTCAGCTGAGCTAGTATCCTCTGCACTCGTTCTTGGTGGGCATTGGGTTTCCTCCATATGTTTCTGCATTTGATTCTTTACTTCAGATGCTATTAATTCAGGGATTTTTTTTTTCTTTCCCAATCTAAGTTCCTCTATACCTTTCTACAGCTGTTTCTTTATTTCAGAAGCTCTTGATTCATTGATTTCATCTGTGTGATTCCCAATTTGTTTTGTGTTAGTGTCCTCTGCAATTGTTATGGGTGGGCTTGGGGTCTGAGATTGCATTTTGCTCCTTCTCGTTGTCATTTTGTGTAGCACTGTCTTCTGACCTTTGTTTTATAGTTTTGGTGCAATTATAACCTTAGCACCTACTGAAATTTAGGTGCAGATCTACAAAGTTTGAATTTATCCAGTTGTGCCTGGCTTGGGTCTGAGGGATGCTGTGCTCAGCTCCTTCCTGCTGCAGCCCTTGGGAGTGAACCTGTTTTGCCCCTCTGGCAAGATGTTCTGCTCCTGGACTACCTGGTTGGTTGTGTCCCCTACTCTCTCTGCAGGGATTGCAGCTGCAGAGTTTCACCCCAGGCCTGTATGCCAGGCCTGAGCTGAGTCTGAAGGGGACATGGGGGAATAGAGGACAGGGGAAGCTCTCCACACACTCAGTGGGCCTGGGCTAGGGCTGGATGTGGGGGTCCCGAGAACGTGGCAGAAGTTCTCAGTCAGTCGGTGGGCGTGGCAGGGGGCTGTGGAGTGGTGGTGGGGGTTCCCAAGGTCGCGGAAGAGGGTCTCACTCATGCTGCGTGACTGGGATTGGACCGGACAGGTCCGAGGGCAAAGGGTAGCCAGAAGCTTTCCCACACACTCCCTTGGCCTGGGCTAGGGCTGGATCTCTTGTGTCTTGTTTTCATTTATTACCTTTTTTTTCAACTAACATTTACTTGAGAGAGAATATAGCAGTAATTGATATGACATTAGAAGCAGTATGCTTTTAGAAGACCAGAATGACAAGCATTCCAAGCATGATCCTAGCATTACACATTGCTGTCCTCAGTGAAGTTGCTTAGTTCACAGGTATCAGCATATATAGTTAGTCAGGGTAAGAATCCTACCAATTAACTGCTAGTTTAAAAACGATGATGTAGCGTGTGCCTACGGAGAGTCACCTACAGAGAAAACATTCTCTCAGGCTTTCACAGAGAGCAAATTGGTCAAGCAATGGCTGTGACTCATGCACATGGTGACACTAACGAAAGATCTAAAAACTGCTGTACAGAGTTTCAGGGTAAATCTTAAGGAGATTTGACTGAACTTGTCAAATACAAAAGTTACATTTTTTGTTATTTAGGTCTTGCTTTATCTTGGTCTTAACCATCCAGCAAAAAAGTATAAAAACGAGGTATAAAAAGTAAAGCCAGGGGCCGGGGAGATGGCTCAGTAGAATAAGTGCTTGCCTGGCAAGCGCAAGGCCCTGAGTTCAATCCCCGGTTCCGCAAAA